TATATTAAGGTATACAGGATGATTCAGATAAGATAATAAGCCTGACGACAGAATGATGATAGAGGAATGAGAGAGAAATTAGAGAAGTCTTATACCAGGTTTACGATTTATTTTTTGAAAAAACTAATTGATGTGTGATAAAGTACTATAAAAATGTGATAATTTAACAAGAATAAAATTTTTCGAAATTTCCTTTTGTTTTTGAGTTCTACAAAAAACTTAATTTTTTTAAATGGCAACCCACTAGAAAATCATTTTTCTCATAACAGCTATACTCTAAAAATTACAACTATCTTCTTTATATTTAATGTTTCAAAAAAAATCACATAAATTGCAATTTTGACAAAAAAAAATCGCATATCTCAAAAACAAAACAGAATTTCGTTCTGAAAATACGATCACATTTTTTATATTACCTTAATTTATATTAATTATTATTTTCTGGAGGCAAATGATTAAAAATAAAACTGCTTGGTTCTGTACTTTATATTCACTCTGTATGTAGTAGTCTAATATGTGTAACTTTTTAACTCAGATTATTATGCTTAGTTTTCTTAGTCATTTCCTATTTTCTATGCATTTTTTTCAACAAAAACCAGTATTTCTATCAAAACATCAAAAACAACTACCTTCTAACTCAAATTTTTCCCAATCATCAATTTTTTTAGGAAAATGAGTCGATTTTCAAGTTTTAGTCGTTGAAGTTTGTTGAGTTTGAAAAACAGCCCATTGAGGTCTTTTAATAGATAAAATGACCTGTTTTTAAGCCCATTTTATTTATTAAAACATCAATTTTTTTTATAAAAAATACCATATTTTTTGTGGCTTTCTTAAAAATGTGAGCCAGATTTTTATGCTAAAAATAAGGAAAACTACTGTTTTGTTAAGATTTCTTAGAAAATGTGAGCCAGACGTAACAACTGAATCTGTGGTTTTTGTTGAAAAAAATGCATAGACAATAGGAAAATGACTAAGAAAACTAGGCATAATAGTCTGAGTTAAGAAGTTACACATATTAGACTACTAAAATTAAAAATTATTTAGTTTTCCAAGTCTATATCAAACAAATAAAAAAATCTAGTATTGAATCATAAAAATAGAAAACCAAACTGGTGTGGGAATTTTAAAAATCGAATTCCATAAAAATTTGAGTTATCATTTAAAAAATAATTTACTCACCCATCTTTATCAGATGTAGTTATAATAATCAATCTTTTAAATTTATCAACGGCATCATTAGTCATTATATTACGGTGATGAAAGTCATTATATTACTAACAAAAAATTTTGATAAATAAATGGATAATCAATCTAAACCTTGTACAAAATGTAAAACTGAAAAGACTTTAAAAAAATATTTTTTTAGTAATAAACTTAATGACGCACATCAATCGATATGCTGGGCAGAATATTTTACAAATAATGAAAAAGACCATGTCCTACATGTAAAAGACCAATAGGAAGAAGACATATAGATGCACATCTTAAATTGGAATGGCACTCACTGATTAACTAAAAAATTTTTTAACAAAAAATTTGTTAATAAAATTATTTAAAAAAAAATTCCTATATAAATGGAAGCTCAACTTAGAAGCTTGAAACGCAGACAAAGATATATACAAGCATTTCAAAAAGATATAAACAATAAAACCAGAACTCAATTACGTGAGTTTATAAAAAAATTTAAAGTAAAAAGATATTCAAGAGCATCTAAACAAGAACTGATTGATTTTATAAACAGTCAACTCCCTAAAGGGAGAATATTTCTTAAAAATAAAAATTACAAATCTTAAGCTATTAAAACAATTACAAGTAGATGATGATTTAATAATTCCACCAAGAGAAAGGAGAGAGGGAATTGAAAATAAATCAAAAGATTTAAAAGAGTTATCGCGCTGCTAGTTTACTCGCGTAATCTTAGTTTTCCAATTGGGCTTACCTACTTTTCGTGTTCTTACGGCTGTAGGTACATACTTTTTTGCTTTTGCACTAATCTCTTTAGTATTATTGCTTCGTTTCTTGCGCTTCGTTATCGCTTACTATCTGCACACGAGAATTGATATTTGTCTCGAATTAACTGTTCTTCGTGCAAAAAAATCTTTTATTCCACCTGTGCTGGTATAACCAAATACGATCTTGTAACGCTAAACGAAAACGACTTGAACTGGTTATGCAAACTCTGCTCTTCTGAATCTGCTTCTCGTGCTCCTTCTGACAATTCCGACAACTTCACTGTTCAGCATTTTAACTTTTTAATGGATAAACTTTCTCAAATAAACAATGATGTTGCACTGATTCGTGACAACCAGGCCAAACTCTCTGAAGATGTGGCTAAATGTAATGCAACGCTTGAGAATCACACTCAGTTACTTAACATTGGTGATTTGAACGGCTCTCAGCTCGCCACTACCTCCAACGTGGTTAGTGTCTCAAAAGATCTTGCTCCTCGACAAACTCAATTTCTTTCTTTTCCTGGTTTGTCTACCATTTCTGACTCGTTTATCTCTGAAGCTGTTGAAAGAGCTTCTCGTTCTCATAGTATTATTATTAGAGGTGTTCCAGAAAATAGCTCTTCTGATTTTGATAAAGCTTTTGCCTCGAGCCTGTGCAGATTTGTAATCAGTGATTTTAACGATTTCGTTACAGTCACTAGGATAGGTATACAAGGTTCTACCCCACAAATGATCAAGGTTGCATTCCCGTCTCCTTATTGTGCAAAAATAATTCTTCAAAACAAACTTCGTCTCAGAAACTCCGAATTTAAACATATTTCGATTTCTGACGACAAAACACCTTCCTAACTAAACAAACTTAATGAGGTAAGACGTGACTTAAAAGCACGACAACTAAAAGGTAAATTCAATATTACTATCAAGTATATTAAAGGTATCCCTACTGTGGTCTCTATTCAATCAAAAAACTAAACAACCCTTCCATTTATGAATTCACTATCATTTACTCTAACCTTTGCCCTCTTTATTTAAAATTTTCTGACCTTGTTTCTTATATTCAGTCATCGTTTCCTGCTATCATACTTATTTCTGAAACTTAGCTTAAACCTACCATTCCTGATTCTCTAGTCGCCATTTCCGGTTATTCGCATCAAATTGGTGGAGGTGTTTGCATTTACTTTAAAAATGATTTATTTCCTAACTTTCAGTTCGTTCCTGTTCTAATAATTTTACTACTACTATTGAATGCTTAGTCGTTAAATGTATGTCTATTAAGTTCTCTTTTATGCTGTCATGTCTTTGTCGACCTAATTACTCCTCACTTATTGACGATATTGATTTTTATGCAGAACTAACCTCTCAGATTACCTCATTGCTCCCAAATTCTAAAAACATAATTTTTGGTGATTTCAACTATCCCGCTATTAACTGGCCTAACTTACAGACTGATGGGTCATTAATTAATGATAATTTCGTTAATTTTCTGCATTATAACAACCTAAGTCAACTCATCAAGGAACCCACACGATTTAGGGATGGCAACGTTTCCTCTACTCTTGATTTAATCCTTACCAATAATCCAAATCTTATTGTACCACCCATAATAGACCCTCCTATTTTGGTAAGTCAGATCATGTTGCTATATCCACCTCGATTCAGATTATCAACTATAATCCCTCTCCCCCGTGTTCACGTCTCTTTCCGTCAATTAATTTTTCTAATGTTAATGATGCCATTGATAGTGTTGACTGGAAGTTCCAGTTTATCAACAAAAACATATCTGATTGTTGGAAGTACTTTCTTGAATATGTAATACTTCAGCTTCCATACATACATACATACTACTATGTAATAAAAATCTAACATTCAATCATGTCAAGCCATGGATTAATGCAAATATCCTAAACCTAGTTAGAATTAAGAAGTTAAGAACAGACTATGAACTAAGTACAAAAAAAAGAAATTTTATGAAGAACGGCTTGTCTCTCAAAACAATCCTAAAAAACTACATAAGATAACCTGATTGCCTAGAAGATGGTTTATAGGACACAGGGAAATAAAAAACATTAAATTCGTCGCGACGTTTCAATACTTTTATTGTATCTTCTTCAATTTTACCGATTGGTCGTCGGTAAATATATTCTACTGTCTTCCTAGCAACCCTCGTAATTATGCAAAAATGCCCGATTGTGCAATAAATGTATGAACTATTGAAACATTAAAGCTAGGCAAACAGTTTTTTTTTTATAAATTATAAATTGCTCGTCAAAGCAACGAGCAACATAAGATAACTTGAATTGCAAATGCAAATCGTAATTAAAATTAGATCAAAACGTAAATAAAATTTGTTTTTTGGGTTGCATCGCCAGAACGTTGGGCTTATTATCACCCTGTATATATTTTTTCAATATTCACGTATTTGGCATGCACTCGACATATGACTACGTACTGAATATTCAAAATAATCATTTTCAACACTTTGTAGGTATATTGAAAAATAATAATTTCAGTGGGTTAGTATCTATAATTTTTACTTTACCAACTTGCTGAGTATGCTGGTTTCGCCTTTGGTATTGTTTACATTTTGAATTACAGTATCATAACCTCCCTTTTTTCCTTTTCCTTGCCTTGAAAATGCCCCGTACAAGACCTTTTCTTCTAAATTGACGCGGTCTAACCTAAAAAGACCTAGATTTCAATCTGACTCTGGCCCCAAAAGCCTACGTTCTTACATGCTAAGGTTTACTCAACAAATATGAACAATGAAAAATTTTCATTTGTAGGTACTTTCAATAATTAAGTGAATGAGTCATATTGTTTAAAAAAAATACAAATTTTAACCTCAAGGTTAATACATAAAATTTTTAAAAAACAAGATAATTAACATACTTATTTATTTTAAGTATACAAAAATTTAACTTCATATTTTAGGTACAATTTTCTACCCAGTAGTAGTGAAATAGTCAACAAGAGTGGGTCATTACCTTATAATTATTATAAGCTTAAAATTTGAAATCAGGTAAAGTTATTATTAGTTATCAGGTATCTAAAATAATATATATATATATATATATATATATGTCAGAACTCGCGCCTTTTTTAATTATTAAATTTTATGAAAACTGTAACGCCCTTTAAATTCCTGTATGTATTGCATCATTTTTATACAGGATCGCTAAAATGTGTGGATACAGTTAAATATTATAAAAACTATTTATCAAAACTTATAACAATTTGGTATACGCTTAAAAGTGTTTAAATTACATCGCCTCATTTGTTTATCAAACTTCTATCGCCATTTGTTCTGGGGATACAAGGCTAGCTTGATTTTTTTTTAAATTGCAAGAAGGGTCAAATTTAATATTTTTAAGAAGAACATTTTTTCTGAGTTCTGTGATGTAACACATGCATACCTTATTTCAAAAAAAATATCGAACTAATTAAATTTTGAAAAATGTAATTTTTTTAGCCTTGGCAATATTGTTTTTATCTATCGTTAGCTGTTTGCCGCCTGAACTTAGGTAAACTGTTTCCCAAATTTCAACGTGCTCTGCTAAACCGTTCTGAAAATATTTAGCTGTATCCATACTCTTTAGCAATCCTGTATAAGATTTTAGTCTGGTCTGTCCCAGAGAATACGCCATTTGAGTGCTTCAGTGAATGACACTATATAGGCTGTCCCAGCGAGTTGAAGAAGTCTATTAGTGACCTTAAATAATAAAATTTAAAAAAAATTGTATAGGACATTAATAAATACTAATCTAGTGCATCACCTAAAATTATTTTCAACTATACAGCAAAAATAAGTTACGATACAAACTTGTGTTTTTTTGAATAAAACAACGTATGTTTCTTGGCATTTTTGGATGTAGTTTTTTAAAACAATGTTTTTACGCTAAACTTTTATTAGTCGATTTCGCTTAGTTTTAGAAATAAGACGTTTTTTTTACCGAAAATATGCACTTTTTAAAAATTTATTACTTAAAAACAAAGACACCTAGAACAATTTTTTTCTTACTTTTGCAAGGAAGAAAGTACAGAATTTAAAGCTGTAGCAATTTTTTAGTGTTTTGCATTTGTAAAGATTAAAAAATAATGAAGTTTGTTAAATAACTTAAAAAAAATAATGGAACAAACTATTTTTTATTTTTTCATCTAATAAATTGTCTATTTAAAAAAGTAAACTTTCAATGTCTAGAGATTGATAAATGAAAATATATTTAACATTTAATATTAATTGTAGTAACAATGCTTATCAATATCTGAGCATTGTTGATCCTATGGCAACCATAGTAATTCCACCACGGATCACTTATTCGTTGATTTATCCAGAGATTGTAAAAGTCGTTATAAACACTGAAATTTGAATTATTTTATTGTGAAAATAAAGAATAATAGATTCAGATTAACACAGATGTGATTATTAAGTGATATTTCTTACATCTCTTGTGCAACTGTGCACTTTTTGGCTACTGAAACAATAGTAATTATTTTTTTTTAATGTTTAACGTTAAATATCTTTTTAGTTATTGATTATAAACATCTAAAAGTAAATAATTTTATAAAGACAGTTTAATAATATTTTAAATGTAAAAACAATAAATAGGATGTTCTATTTAATTTTTTTAAGTTATTAAACTTTTAACAAGCGCCTTCATTTTTTTATCTTTGCAAATGCAACGCACTATCTTCTTCTTTGCGGTAGTAAAAAATATTTCTAGATGTCGTAGTTTTTGTGTAATAAATTTTTAAAAAGTGCATGTTTTCGTAAAAAAATCGTCTTATTTTTAAAACTAAGCAAACTCGACCAATAAAAGTTTAGCCTTAAGGCTTAACTTATCGTTTGCCAAGATAGGGAATTTCATTGCATTTTTCGAAAAAGTTTTTCTAGGCTATAATAAGGAATTTTGGTTTTTATTTTTTTGATGAAACCATTTTAGATATTTCTAGGGATATTGTTATGTAGCTTTATTAAATTAAATTCTTTTTTCTTTCTTTCTTAAATTCTTATTTTATATATATTTCCTAACTTATTTTTTATAATAAAATTATAGTATTTATATGGAAACTAACAATGTCCTTCCTACATGTACCAAAGACCTTAAGAAAAAAAAAATGAAATCATTCGGATAATTAATAACTGTAAAATCTCTTATGGAAATATTATTAACTTTCGTAGTGTGAAAATCGTCTTTCTCTCTCAACCCTAGTTCTTTTTCACAACCAACTGAGCTTACCGTAAGCAGACCCCCATCACCGGTTTTATGTGATTTATGACCTTACGAGGGATGTTTAGCATCTATAAGGAAAAATAAAAATACTAAACTAAAAATACAAGCTGTAAAACTACTCCTATGTCATTTTAAGAATTGATGAAAAAGACTTTTTCAACTCGCTAGGACAGCCTGTATAATTATGTTTTTTCATAATTATTCAATAAAGGTGCACGAAGCAGTAAAAGCCACAAATATCATTAAACATAATTACAGTTTGGTGATACAGCTTCTTTATTTCCTCTTATAATAGCCTGCAGCAAAAACTTGTAAAATTATTTTTTCAACATTTTTTCCATGTTCCTGGTATCTTACCTTACATTTTTCTTTAGAGCGCGAGTTTTGACGCACCTGTATATGCCAAAAGTAAATGTCTTAGATTTCAAGGGTCGCAACTCTAAGTCTCTACATGATACATAATACAGTGCATATCATCTCCTTTGAAGTTAGATATTTTATTAAAAAAATTAACAAAAATCAATCGCACAAAAAAATGTCATAACATAAGCCTGATGCCTGATGAACCTTATGAACTTACCGATCTCAGACAATAATTGGAGTTGTCGCTTCGCTCCTCCTCTAAGCTATCAGTAAAATGTCTTTACTGTTTTTGATATACTATTTACTTTTCTGAATAAATGAAGCTAAAAATTGCAGCTTGTTTTTCAAAACGAAATATGAATTTTGGTGTTTAGGGCTAAAAAAATATGAATAACTAATGACAAATTTGTTAGTTTTCAAAATAGTAAAAATCCGCTTTTTGAAATTAAAATTTTGATGTTAAAATAAAACATATTTTCAATACAATGGTTATTTATCTATGCAGTGCCAAGGTAAAAATTTTGTCAAAAATTGTATGGTACTGCGTTCATTTTTTTCCCGTTATAAATTGGAAACTAATTATCACAATTAACTCAAATTTTACAGGTAATGTTAGAATACATGACACTCTTTGGAAAAATTATGCTTGAGCGTTTCAAGTGTTTTTCTCATGTCTAGCTAGATTACTTTTCTAATGCCCCTCGTATGTACAGTAAATTAACTCCGGTCGTAGATGAAGTAAACTTTCTTGATAAACTGAATAAAAACTAGTGAATTCTAAAACCTGCTTCAAATTCAAATATAAAATATTTTAATTTAAAGCAGTTTAAAATAAGCAATTACAAATAAGTCCAATGAAAAATTGATAATTAATTTAATAAAAAAATACTTTGAAACTTTCCCATCGCTTCTTATCACTAACTTACTCATTTGTTGTCTATACATAGAAAAATAATACAACCACAATCATTTGTTTTGTGTTCTATTAGAAGGAATAAGAAAATTTCGCCGTCGCCTTTATAAGAAACTTGACTCGAAAGTCTGTTGCAATCATGAGTGAATTAATACAAGTTGGTCCTTCTAACACTTGTAATGACTTTCCATTGGAATCACTAGGAAAAATTTTTTACAAAAAAATTAAAGAATGGGATTGTGATCGAATTCTTTTGGTAAGTATAGGAGTTTTAAATTTTACATAAAAAACGACATAATTTATTGTAGATTGATTCTGAAGGAGAAATAACTTATGGAGAATTTCAAAAACTAACTGTTCAATTGGCAAAACAGTTTCAACGTCTGGGTATTAGAAAAGGTGATGTAATTACGATAATTTCCCCAAATCACTGGAGATTTATTGCGACAATTGTTGCCGGATTTTATATTGGAGCCACAATTAATCTTCTTAACTACGACTACACTTCTGGTAAGCCATCCAGTAATTTGAATTTTATTTTATTTTATTTTTTTTTTAGGAGAACTAAAACACTTGTTACTAATTTGTAACCCTGTTTTGATACTTTGTACTAAGAAATCATTAATCAAGCTCAAAAAACTTGAAAATGAAGTTGAACTTCCACATATTTTGCTATACGACTCTGACTTTGATTCTTCACTAAAGTGTAGTTACAGTGAGGAATTTAAACCTATTGATGAGTTAGATCCGATGACAGAAGTTGCCTTAATTTTAACATCATCAGGTACAACAGGCTTTCCAAAATGTGTTCAATTAACCCACTCAAACATGCGAACAACAATGTTGCATGCTATGGATCCCACTTTTTTGGATCTTAACAAACACGAATCCTGGATTGCATTTCTTCCATTTTACCACGTGTTTGGTTGTGCCATTGCACTAGCTTCAATTTTAAGCGGTTGCAAAACAGTAATTATGGAAAAATTTATTCCTGATTTATTTTTAACCTTAATCCAAAACCACAAAATCACAAAATTGTTTGTGGTTCCTCCAATTTTACAATTTTTGGTCAAAAACCCCTTAGTAGAAAAATTCGATCTTTCCTCGGTCACTGATATTTTGTGTGGAGCTGCTGTTGTACGTAAAGAACTGGAAGAAATGGTCCAAAAAAAGTTTCAGATCAAGTCAGTCAGGCAAGTGTATGGAATGACCGAAGTTTGTGGTGGTGCAACCATGATTCCTAAAAATTTTCAAAAATATGGATCTTCAGGGAAAGTCATGTCTTATACACAAATCAAAGTTTGTGATGTGACAAGTGAAGAAACTCTTTCAGCGTATCAAATTGGAGAAATACGAATCAAAGGTAATGGAATAATGAAAGGTTACTTGAAAAATAAAGAAGAAACAGAAAAAACGTTTAATGAAGAGGGATTTTTGAAATCTGGTGATTTAGGTTACTACGATGAAGAAGGTTACTTTTATATTGTTGATCGTTTGAAGGAAATTATTAAGTATAAAGGATTTCAGGTGTGTTCGTTTTCTATGTTGCTTAATTTAAAAATCAAATTTCAGGTATCACCAGCTGAGTTGGAAAATTTGTTAATACAACATCCTGCTGTTAATGATGCAGCTGTTGTTGGATTACCGGATGAAAGAGCCGGCGAGTTACCTTTGGCATTTGTTGTTAAACAAGATAAAAATATCACGGAAAAAGAACTGATTCAATACATTTCAGGTAAGAACAGGTGACAAAGTTATAAGTATTAATTAGTTGTATTTTGTATTTTTTTAGAAAATATTTCTAAACAAAAGCATTTGTATGGAGGAGTTAGATTTATTGAAAGTATCCCTAAAAGTCCCAGCGGTAAAATTCTAAGAATAAAACTAAAAGAAATGTTATAATACTTATATTATATTATATTTTCATGTTTGATGTTTTCAGGTGTTAAAATTAAAGTTTGTAGCTTTAGCTAGAATAATGATTTCAGATCAATTCTTTCTTCCTTAACTATAGATGACTCAAAGCAATATAATTATTAAACCGACTAAAGAACCCTCTCTCTCACCTTAAAATGAAGTTATAGCAACATTGTGATGTCAGTTTGAGCACAAATTCAAAATCTTACAATTATAGGAAACTTAAATGTTTCCACTGGAACGTTTTTGAGCAAATACCATCCAACTTTTTTTTTATATTCAACGAAAATATCGAGAGATCAAGATAATTTGTAATCGAGTCATCTTTGGGTCCGAAAACGTATGTCTATTTTTGAATTAACTGCACATGAAACGTCAAATAAAATGATGAGTTAAAAGGTTAAACGCCAAAATGGGATAGAATTAGTCACCGACGTACTCGTAAAACATTAGGACCGATTATTTTTACCTTTTGACTTGTCATTTTATTTGACGTTTCACAGACATACGTTTTCGAATCCAAGGATGACTCGAGTACGATTTATCTTGATCTTTCGGTACAAAAATTAATTCACAAGTATCTACCCGTAATTGTCAAATCTGTCAAGTTTTTAAGGTCTCATACATTTGTCAGATCTGATACATAGTGCGTAGGCGCGCGGTCGCGCTTGTATTGCTCCGAGGCAAGGTCTCGATATCCGTAGAAAAAGGGCGTTTATAAACAAGAAAATTACATTTAAGTGCACAACTATTGATTGATTATCCCCATCACATAACAATTTGCGATATCTACCTCCCACCAAACAAAGATATCACGTTTGCGAAACTTACATATACCTATAATATCACAGCTACCCACACCTCAATTATAAGTTGGAGACTTCAATGCCCACAGCCCAATATAGAAAGCAGTATCGTCAAACAAAAAAGAAAAAGTGTTAAAAAAATACAGAAAAACTGAAATCTTATACTACTTAATACTGACCAAAAGACAACGTGAATTTTTGTTTTATATAGCCTATTAGTTTTCTTCTATCGTAAATATTATCTCATTTAAATTTCAACTTCAAAACCGTAAACACCCTGTATAGACGCCGTACAGTACCATGATAGAATAACAAGTGTTAAGAGGCTATAAAAGCAAGCAAATGAGCCTTAAATTGCTTAAAACGACATAACACGACTGAAAATCTCGTAGATTTTAAACGCCTGAGAACCATAACTCGACACACCATTAAAGAAAGTAAAAAGAACTTCTGGCCAAAGTATGTCTCAACAATCATTAGCTCAACATCAACAACAAAGGAATAAAATAAAAGCAATTAAAGGAATGCCAATCAACAACAAAATAAAAATGCTACAAAATAAAGACATAACCTACACCACAAGCAACAAAATAACAGAAGTCCTTGCCTCTCAATTTCACAACTTTTCTGCAGACTATTATTGTAGCAAACACAAATTGCCATCCACATAAACATATCCGACAATAACCCTTTGAATGCTCCCATTCGTCTTGAAGAACTAAATAAAGCGATACATAACTGCCGAAACACTGCACATGGCCCTAATGGCATCCCTTTTATTTTTCCCAAAATGTTACCTACAGATGCCAAACAACACCTTTTAGACGCTTTTAATTTTCTGCTAGAAACAGGTTCTTACCCACAAATTTGGTCTACAGCCATCATATTGCCATTCCCTAAAATTAACAAAAACACAACACCCCTGACATCTTACTGACCGATCTCGCTGAAAAGCTACTAGAAAAAATTGTAATTAAGAAACTTCAATGGTAGGTATCTGGAAACAAACAATTTACTGACACCAATCCAAAGTGGTTTTCGCAAAAACAGATCTACAATAGACAACATAATAGCCTGACAACCAAAACGTTATTGCGGTTTTCTTCAATTTGTAAAAAGCGTTTGACAGAGCGTGGAGATATCCAATACTATACAGGGTGTGTCAGAAAAAGAAAAAATGTCTAAAAACTTATTTTTCTCAAATAAGTTTGACTTTTGACAAAATGTCAGAAAAGTTTCAAATGTAAGTAATTTTTTTACCAAAAGACAAGAAATAAAGACAATAAGGACACGAAAAATAGCGATTGCTAAACGGGAAAAATTTATTTAATGGGTAATATAAAATTTTTACTTATTTTCAGAATCTGATCCAAAATTTTCAGACCACCAATCATCTTCCGAATCTGATTCTGCGGAAAGTTGAATCATTATTAAAGGAATACCGTGCGATCAAAAAAAAAAATAAATTAGAGTAGGCGACGTTTAATTTTCTACAGTTGGCAACACGTTAGCTGGGAATCTGGGATGGAAATTTTCCACAGAAAGTGAAGGACTGAAGGACTTTAATCACCGCCTACTCTCTCTCTCTCTCTCTCTCTATATATATATATATATATATATATATATATATATATATGCATTTGTATCGTCTCTGCCTCCACCCATCAAACAGACGTCCACCACGGCTCCACCCGAAATACTGGACTGAGATGAATATTGTTATCGAACTTAATAGAGGCACACTCAGAGGGGTAAAGAAATTCCTGTCTAAATTTATACAAAAAAAATTATAAGAACGACACTCTTTGAACTCCATACACACACAATTCATTTTCGACTCCGGTGTATATAAAATCGCTAAACTCAGCGGTAGGACTTGCCTCCAGCAACGTTGCCAAATGAATTAACACATAAATGAATAAAATCATCTTGAAGACTCATGGATAAGAGTAAACTTAGCAAATTTTCAAGCGTTCGCTCTCGTTTTTCACCGGAATATTTATAATAAAGTGACCAAATATTGGAAAGTTTAAAATCAGGATATTAATAAAAATTATCATAACAATTTTCTTTTAGAACAGAAAATAAAAAATTAAATAGGTCTTATCAATTTACCTTATAAAAATTTAAATATTATAATGCAAAAAGACAAAGAACTATTTTTAGGTCCAAAACTGTAAAAATTAGCTTTATTGTTTTGTGTTAAGTAATTTGTATTTTTTTCTTTATTGCTTTAAGAGGCCCTTAATTGTCTGGACATTTTTTGTAATTTATGCAAAACAAATTATATTTAATTTGGTCATTATAAGTGATTTTCAAGTGTTTCAGTTATGTTTTTTCAAGGGGCCAAACGGAATGACCACATTTGAAATTACATTTAATTAACACATACAAGAAAACTCTTTTTAATTTAAAAGACACTTTGTTTTGCAAATGAAAATTTGAAAAACGGTACATTTAGGTCTGTTTGTCCTTAAAACTTAAATCGGAATCAATCAGGACATAAACGAAAAACAGCCTAAGACAATAAAAATCTAAACATGTCCTGTCTAAATCAGAACGGTTAATTACCTGAATATAGTCATTATTTGTTAAGTGAAAATTTGTGTTTTTTTTTAAGTTCTAAATATTTTCCGAGATAAGTATAGTAAAATTTTAAACTCCCACACATATTAACAATATAATAAAATATTAATTATATTTAAAGACAACCTTAACACCGGAAAAAAAAATTGCTTWATTTTTGTATTACGGATTTTACATTTAGGTTGTACTTTTTAAGTATCTTTAGAGACTTTTGTACTTTATAAGTTTACAAAAAGATTGTTATATGCGTTGTAGATATGTTATTAAAAATTGTTATCAAAAAGATGTAATTGGTGTTTAATGATACAACCTTAAGGTTCTAGAGCTAGACCATAGTTTTTGAATCCCAACTATTTAAACTTTTCTTATCAGAATAAATTTTTTAATGAGTTTTGACATAATGTTTA